GCTCTGGAATTATTGGTAATGGTAAACTTCCTTCTATTAACAATGTTCTTTTAGTCGAGGGTCTTATGCATAACCTCTTGTCAATTAGCAACCTTAGTGACAATGGTTATGACATCATTTTCAATCAAACATATTGTAAAGTTGTAAGTCAGAATGATGGCTCAGTTATGTTTAATGGTAAGAGGAAAAACAACACTTATAAAATCAGGTTATCAAATTTGAAACACCAGAATGTAAAATGTCTTCTGACTGTTCAAGAAGAGCAATGGGTCTGGCACAGACATCTGGACCATGTTAGCTTGAGAAAAATATCTCAACTAAATAAGATTGGATTAGTCAGAGGCTTGCCCAATCAGAAATATACTTCAGATGCTCTTTGTGAAGCATGTCAGAAAGGCAAGTTTTCAAAAACCTATTTTAAAGATGAAAATTTTGTTTGTACCTCTAGGCCATTAGAACTTCTTCACATTGACTTATTTGGACCTGTGAAAACTGCTTCTGTCAATGGTAAGAAATATGGACTAGTCATCGTTGATGATTACAGCAGATGGACATGGATAAAATTCTTAAAACACAAGGATGAGTCACATTATGTGTTTGCTTCTTTCTGCTCCCAAGTGCAAAATGAAAAGAATTGCAAAATAGTCAGAGTTAGAAGCGGTCATGGTAGAGAATTTGAAAACAAAGATTTTGAAAAACTTTTTAATTCTAACGGCATAGCTCATGATTTCTCATGTCCTATAACTCCACAACAAAATGGGGTTATAAAGAGGAAAAATAGGACTTTGCAAGAAATGACTCGCACCATGATCCAAGAAACTCAAATGGCTAAGCACTTATGGGGAGAAGCAGTGAACATAGTCTGTTAAATTCAAAATACAATCTCTATAAGACCTATTTTGAGTAAGACTCCTTATGAATTGTGGAAGAATAGAAAGACCAGTATTTCTTATTTCCATCCTTTCGGATGTATATGTTTTATGTTGAATACTAAAGAAAATATGGGCAAGTTTGACTCCAAGGCAAATAAGTGTTTGTTGTTAGGATATTCTGAACGCTCAAAAGGCTTCAGAGTCTATAACACAGAATCACGAATTGTGGAGGAACCAATCCATGTCAGATTCGATGATAAGCTTGACTATGAAAAGTCAAAGCTGGTTGAAAAGCTTGCAGGTGTGAAGATAACATTCGCAGAATCCAATGAGAAGATACAAGAAGATAAAGAATCAGAAGCCCCTTCTTTTGATATTGTTGTTGTTCCTTCTGATCAACCACAACAAAGAAAAAGAAGAATCTCATCTTCTCATCTTGAAGATTTAATTCTGGGAAACAAAGATGCTCATGTCAGAACCAGGTCAGCATTCAAACCTTTTGATGAAGTGCCCGTGGGTTTAGTATCTTTAATAGAGCCAACATCTATTGAGGAAGCTCTTCTAGACAAAGACTAGATTTTGGATATGGAAGAAGAACTGAACCAATTCTCAAAGAACGATGTTTTGGATCTTGTTCAGAAACCTAAAGGTGACCATGTCATTGGAACCAGATGGATATTCAGAAACAAGCTCAACAAGAAAGGTGAAGTTGTCAAAAACAAAGCACGGCTGGTTGCACAAGGTTATAGTCAACAAGAAGGGATAGACTATACATAAACTTTTACACCAGTCGCCAGGTTAGAAGCTATACGTTTATTAGTTTCTTTTTATGTAAATCATAACATAATTCTTTACCAGATGGATGTTAAGAGTGCATTTCTGAAATAGTTATATTTCATAAGAAGTGTACATCAAACAACCTCTTGGATTTGAAAACTCTGAGAAATCAGATTTTGTTTTTAAACTCAAGAAATCTCTTTATGGTCTAAAGCAAGCTCCTAGAGCTTGATATGACAGATTGAGTAATTTTCTTTTAGAAAATAAATTTACCATAGGGAAGGTTGACACTACACTCTTCTGCAAATGTTTCGGTCAGAAATGTCTTTGATTAGTGAGACAACCGGCTGAAAATCATCAGACAATGAAGTCGTCATCGAACGTATTTTTTCCCACATAAAGGGAAAGATAAACATCGAGAAAACCTGAGAATGGAGAAGTCAGGGTCTTGTGACGGAGAGATCGGGTAAGAGAGTTTGTTACGCAAGGGGAAGGTATTAGCACCCTACACGCCCGTAGTACTCTACGGTATCCACTATTGGTATATATCTTATGAGTGTGTTTAATCTATGCTTACTGTTTACTACAGAGGAAGAATGCATGTAAAAGAAAGGAGAAAATAATGTAGAGAAAATAAAGTTGTGCTCGCTTGGGTCCTACCCCAATGCCTGCGTATCTTTTTTGAGAAATCAGAGTTACTGTAGTTCAGCTTATATGTTTTTGTTTGTTTGTGTTTTTTGTGAACAATGTTAATTCCGCCTTCTGCTGTAACTCGGCCTTTGAAGACTCACGCTTGGCACAAAAATAAATTAATCATGTCCTTACTGAAAATGGTTTTGAGTTACGCCCTCAAGACAAGATGCCACATTTGATTGGTTTGTATTGTGTTACCTTGAAAAAGGGTTTAAGTGTGATTAGCATGTTTTATGATTTGCTAAGAAAAAGGATTTTAGTGGAAACAAAATGAAAAGCGGTACATCAGTGGAAATCTAAACATAAACAACAATATTTACAAAAACTTCGTTCGAAGAAGTCCCACATGTTCGTCGAAGACAATCATCTCAAAATGCTCCTTCGAAACTGTCGTTACCTTTCATTTACGATATATTTTGACAACAATCTTCCACAACTCCTTACGGTCGTTTATGTCGCTCATCTTCTCAAAAGGTTTCTCCATGTTCGGTTTAGGAGTTAAAGTAAATGGTAGGTTAAGGAAACTGGATTTTAGGAGAGAAAGATGTATTAGATTATTGTAAAGTGTATGTTAAAGGACAGAAATGAGAAGAGGACAGAAATGAGAAGAGGAAAGAGAAGGAGATATAATAAAAACTGGGGGATGTGATAGTACGGGGGCCAACTATTACCTCAAGTTGAAACGCTTTGTTAGTCATCTTCAGTTTAAGCGGCATCAATTCTTTATTCAATAGTTTATGTTGAAGTGAGAACCATATGTTATATGCAAATTATTTTTAGTTGGCCAAGTAACGGCATATTCTATATTTACTATAGGGGTAGTAAAAGACGAGATTTATATCATTTTATTATATGTAACAAGTGGGGAATAAATGGTAGAAAGGGTTTTTTCATAAACTAAAATTTTCTTATATGGTAAATGAAATTCTAAGTGATGACATTGGCTTAAAGATGTGTACGGGATTTTTTGGTGCATAATCGGTCATTATTTTGGATAGAGGAAACAAAGCATACAAATTAAACCATTAAACTATCAGGGATTTAATTGGAAATCTGACTAATGATTTCAATATATAATATAACCATGTTTTTATTGAACAAGTTCTTACGACTAATAACATCAATATAAATAAAACTTTTTTTCTTTACTTTTGAGATTCAAACATCTGATGTTAAATTTTGTACTAGTAAAATTAGGTTTAAGTATGATAATTAAAATCGGATTAGACTGTCCAGTTTAATCAGTTGGATTGGGAACCGAATCTTAATTAATTTATTTTAACTTAAAAATCGATATACAAAATTAAATTGAAATAATGTTTAATTTCGTTTTAAATCAAAATAATGTTTAATTTAATTTTTTTTCCTTTTTCTAATCACTTAAATACATATTATTGTAGAAAAATAAAAATAAAAATTATTTTAAATTATTTTATTATTCTTTATTCATTTGGTAAATGAAAGTGAATTTTATATAATAATATATAAGATAAATATAATAAAAATATATAATATATGAGAAAAGGAATAATCATATAATATTGTGAACAAACAATTAATAAAATTGTTAAATAATAATAATAATAATAATAATTATTATTATTATTATTATTATTATTATTATTATTATTATTTTATTATTATTATTATTATTATTATTATTATTATTATTTTATTATTATTATATTAAAATAAAAGTTTTAAACTTACCTCTCTAAGTTATAAAAATATAAAAGACTATAAAAAATAAAATATTAATTATTAAAAAATTATCAATAATTGTTTTACCATTTAAAAAATATAATTATTTTTTTGCATTATTAATCTTATATATAAACAAAAAATATTTATTTATTTACCCTGGTCAAACATTAAAACCCTAAATCTTTAAGTACAACGGTTAGATATCTGGTCCAATTTTGATTATCTTAGATTTTTGTGACTTCTAATGGTAAAATAACAAGATCATTTTTAATTTTTTTTCGAATCAAGATAATAAAAGTAAAATTGAAAAAATAATAATAAGCTATAAACTTTAAATCTATTGCAGTAAAGAGACCCCACTTATAATATTATCACAGGTGAACTGTATTGTAGAAGATAATATTCAATATATTCAACACAGCATGTCAGGGCATGCTTTGGCTTCTCTATAACGAATAATAAAATTTGAGACTAACAACATACTGTTCTGCTCCAACTCCCTCCCAAAAAAATATAAAAAGGAGAGAGAGCATCAGCATCTTGTCCTATGTTGATTTAATCCTCAACAAAGGCTAAGAACTCACTTCAGTAACAATCTTCCAGCAATCCTCTACAGCAACAACTTCCACTATCTACCATTCTTTTCAGCTGCGGACGCACATCGGACCATACAAAGAAAGTAACTAATTTACATGTCCAATAAGTTTATAAACTAAATTCCTCAAAATTTTGTGTAATCAAAGATATTTTTAAGGCAGGCCGGTATAACTAGTCTGCGCATGCTATATCTTTCAATGTCTCGCCAAATCAGCTCTATAATTCAAACTCAGGATATAGTATAGCGTAGCTCTATGACTGCTGCATCCTCAGCAAAAGTGATCTTTTCCTAGCCAAGGAATGGCTTTCACCTTTTCGCGGCCAAATAAATACTCTCTTGAAACTATGATGTGCAAACTAGATTTGAGCAAAAAGCATTTCATTCCATGTATCAGGAACACCCGGTAAACACCAGTGTAAACAATCTTGCATACCAGGCTTTGCTGTTAAGCTGTACCGCGATATATGACCCTCGTCCCTAAGCTGAGAAGGACCTGTTATGTCCAAGAGCTTGACTCGTGTTCCCTTCACCGCACTTGCAGTAACTGGGTCACTGGACTCCTCTTCCAGTATTTCTTTTCCCACCGACATTGGTTTAGTGTTGTCACAACTTCCTCCTGTGTTCCATTCCCCGCCGAAAAAATGCCTAGGAGAAATGGTACGGAAAAATACCTTCAAACCTGGATGTTTTGGTAGCTGCGAATCCACCCAACTAACAACGCTGCGAATCGTAAGATTCTTGGCAGCCCAAATCACTGCTAGCTTCCTATCTGTATTTGGCACTCCACCAACATGCATTACCCATCGATTGGCATTTAGTTTTCCTCGATTCCAGTGATGACCAGTGTTGAGAACCAGGACATCAAACTTGTGTAGAAATTGACGCAGGAATGCTGGGGGACGATCAAGGTGCATTGCATAATCTGTTTTTGGGTTGTTAACGTCAATAGGTTCAACATCACATAAGCTTGCCGACCAGTAGTACAAAATGGTAGTATTAGTGCTTGAAAAACGATACGCCCACCCATTAGGACGGGCAGAGCCCCCAGCTACAATCAATCCATACTCTTTACCCACATCTTCAACATCATTCGTCTCTACGCCTCCAGATACCATGCACATCATAGACTGGTACTGCTGCCGGCCTAATGAGTCTCCCACAAAAGCTAGAGTTTTGTTTTGCATCCTGAATACATGAAGATTAACAATTATTATACATTTATAGCATTTTTTTACAGTTGAACCAAAAAATGAGGCTAATAAAAATAATAAAAATGTAGCTGGGAAAGTTGGCGCTTTTATCTAAAACAGAGGGAGTTCATAAAAGTAAAGGTATCAGTCATACATCAAGAACAAAAGTATTCTAAATTGAGTAATATGCCACTATCATGATAACATATGCCCCAACCAAAGCATACCAACTGTCTTTCAAGTAAATCGAGACGCATCTCCTATGGGCAAAAGGAATTGAAAAATCACTATGTTCAACATAAAATCAATGAAATGTTCCGAAGGACATCACGGGTCCAATCTATATGCATGGATCAAGAGAACGAAATACCTTCTCAAGAATTTAGAACCTTCAAACTCCTCCATTTGACAATCTTTTGGTTGCCATCTAAGCTGCTCATATGCAAAATCCGTACGTTGCATCATGCGGCAAGCCCACATCGAAGAGAGCCACTGTTTGCAACGAAAACCTGAATACAAAGGCCGTTTGTTGTCTGGGACCCATTTTCCTTTTGCATAGTTACAAGCTGGAGAAAAAGTCAACTAATGAACATCCATTTGTTAGCAACACACAAATATACTGGCTGTTAGTCTAACCTTATGACAATCAAGCACGAACACGATACGTATGTCGGATACGTATCCAATATGGTGATACGTCACTCATTGGAAAATATAGGATATGATGCATTTAAGATACACATAAAAAATTGAAATTAGACATTATTTAAATCAATGTCTAACAAAAACTAAACTCATAACACAACTTTTATCACATTACTAAATATTAAATCTAAACTAAGATATTGGAATAGCATCAATGCCGTCTCCTCCTTCACCATCATTGGTAAATAGAGCAGCTTTCAAGTTCGGTTTGTCAAGAGACAATGATGAAACCTCAAGAGTTCCAACAACACCATCAAAGCTTTCCCATGCATCTCCACTAATGTTTCAAATCTTATGAAAATAGAATTATGGGAAAGAGAAACCAATCTTGATTCTTGAAAAATGCTAACCAAGAAAGAATAATAAATGGGTGCAACACAAATTATATAGGAGAGAGAAGAGGCAGTTAAAGTTGAGAGAAGAGTAATTAAGCATGGGAACGTTTGATTCATGTACTGGAAAAATGAACACCCGTGAGATAAACAGGCTGTATCCGTGACATATCTGAGACATGTCGACGGTGTATCCCGGCATGTCCTCCGTATTGCGACCTATCCTTATTTATTTATTATTTAAAATTGTTGATATTTGAACATATATAATGTTAAGAATATTTGTATGTAGAATAGAGCCACATCAATTATATCGTGTAATTAGTTGTAATATCTATATATATTATAAAGTCACCGTAGTGCTTTCAAAACACACGGTTTAACCTAAACGTCTCTTAGTCTCTCCTAATTCAATATGGTATCTAGAGCCTTCTAAGAGGTAATTCTTCGTCGTGCTTTACCCGGTTGACCCACTGTCTTCTGGTGAGAAATTTTCTTCTGCAAATCATGTCATCATTCCGGTTTGTCTCACCTTTTTTTTTCCGGTGACCTCCCCCGATGCACTGTCCACGGGGAAAAAAATTTCGGAGGGCTATTGTTCACTGCCGCTGCCACTGTTCATCGTCGCCGCTACTCTTCACGAAAAAAAAAATTTACTGGAAAAATGCCTTCCTCCTCCGGTTCCAAATCCGCCCTCGGTTTCCGTTTTCGACTCAGAGAAAGTCGTACTCTTGTTCAAACAACCTCAGTTGTTGTGTTTTAAGCCATGTGAGATGTTGATTCTGTCTCGTTTACTAAAGTTCCGCTTATCCCTGAAAAACTAATCGGATCAGCCAACTATAACGTATGGGCTCGTGCTGTCGAGATGTAGTTTCACGGTCAAGAATATGAAGAGCACCTAACCACCCTATTGAGTGACGTTGCAGCCGTCAAACTCACTAAATGGAAGAAAACGGATGCCTCTTTGCGTACTGTGTTGTGGTTTTCCATAGCACTTAACCTCCAAGCGCAGTACCAAGCATTCTCTACTTGTTATGAGGTGTGGCAAAAGACCAAGAAAGTCTTTTCCAACAACGTTCATTCTCTATACAGTGTCATCCACAAACTCAATACACTGAAGTTGGAAAATATAGATGTGCAAGCTTATCTGAGTAAGCTTGATGCCTTGAAAGCAAGTTACGCAACCCTCATGCCTTACGCAAAAGATGCAATAGCTCATGCCGAACAACAGAGCAAATATTTCATGGTCATGGCACTTAAAGGACTACCATCAGAACTCGAATTCGTTCGTAACCAGATTTTATCAGGTACTACTGTTCCTAACTATGATACAGTTAGTGAACAATTGTTGCGCTTGGCTACACCTCATGCGTTTGGCCCGGTTTCTCCTCCATCTATTGCTACTCCAACACCAGGTGACACTGCTGCTCTTGCATCTCTTGGCAACAATCAGAATCGCCTTCGAGGAGGGTCATCCAACTCCAAACCTCGTCCTAAGTGTGACCATTGTAACCGGCTTGGACATACTATCGACCATTGTAAACCTCCACGACAGGTAAATGCAGCTCAAATTGATAACCCAGACACTATGCAGACTTCACCTTTTCTTCAGAACCCTACGTCAAGCTACGAGAATTTTCTCAGGTGGTGTCAGACTAACCAGACCTCTGGTTCCACGACTTCGATTGCACACACTGGTAATTCATCTGTTTGCGTCTCTCAATCATCTCCTCTTGGTCCTTGGGTCCTTGACTCTAGTGCGTCTGATCATGTTACCGGTAATAAAAATCTTCTCTTCCCTTTCTACCTCTGGTTTCTTACCGAGTATAACTGCCGCAAATGGTTCTCAAACCCAATCCCAAGGGATCGGTACTGTTCAAATTCTATCTTCTCTCTTTGTTACTTTTGTCCTATATGTACCTAATTGCCTATTTAATCTACTGTCAATCAGTTGTTTAACTCGTTCCCTTAATTGTTCTATCACTTTTACTAACAGTGATGTTATTCTGCAGGATCAAAGTTCTGGACAGACGATTGGCATCGGATGTGAGTCTCAAGGCCTCTACTACTTCTCTACGTCATCTACCACATGCTCCAGCACAAATTCTCTACTCATTATACATGCGAAGTTAGGTCATCCAAGTCTTCCCAAACTACAAAAGTTGGTGCCCAGTTTATCTAAATTATTCACTTTACATTGAGTCTTGTCAATTAGGGAAACATACTAGTAGTCTCTTTCCTGATCGAGTCAATAAACAGGCTGCGTCCCCTTTTGCTTTAGTTCACTCCGATGTTTGGAGTCCATCGCGTACCGTGTCTACTTTTGAGTCTAGGTATTTTGTAACATTTATTGATGATTTTTCACGTTGCACGTGGCTATTTTTAATGAAAAACATATCTGAATTGTTTTCTATTTTTGAACAACTTTATCGAGAAATAAGAACCCAATTTGGTTTGTCCATTCGTACCTTAAGAAGTGACAATGCATGTGAATATTTATCCCAACACTTTCAAACTTTTATGTCATCCAATGGTATTCTGCACCAAACATCTTGCCCTCATACACCTCAACAAAACGGGGTAGCCGAACGCAAAAACCAGCATCTCGTAGAAACCACTCGGACTCTACTTCTCCATGGTAATGTCCCTCTCAGATTTTAGGGGGAGGTTGTGCTCACGGCGTGTTATCTCATAAATCGCATGCCCTCATTTGTCCTTAATAATAAAATCCCTCAATGAATCATATTTCCAAACTCTCCTCTGACGCTATCGCCATCACCGGATTCGATCCTGCAACCTGAGTCTGATCTTCCGATTGTCCTTCGCAAAGGTATACGTCAAACAAGAAATCCTTCTCCACATTATATTGATTTATGTTATCATCGTCTTTCCCCTTTGCAGTACACTTGTTTGTCCTCTTTGTCTTCTGTTTCTATTCTTAAATCTCAAGGTGAAGCATTATCTTACCCTGAGTGGAGGCAAGCAATGATTGATGAAATGTGTGCTCTTCAAAGCAGTGGTACCTGGGAACTGGTTCCTCTACCCACTGGAAAATCTTTAGTAGGTTGTCGTTGGCTTTATACAGTGAAGGTTGGTCAAGATGGTAAGATTGATCGTTTTAAAGTTCACTTGGTAGCCAAGGGATACACTCAGATTTTTGGGTTGGATTATAGTGATACCTTCTCGCCTGTAGCCAAGATGGCATCTGTTAGACTTCTTCTAGCCATTGTAACCATTCGACATTGGCCTCTTCATCAACTTGATATCAAAAATACATTTTTACATGGTGATCTTGAAGAGGAAGTATATATGGAGCAACCACCTGGGTTTATTGCTCAGGGGGAGTCATCATCAAATATGATTTGTAGGCTACACAAGTCTCTTTCTGGTCTTAAGCAATCTCTGAGAGCTTAGTTTGGCAGATTCAGCACTGTAGTACAACAATTTGGTATGGTTCGTAGTGAAGCTGGTCATTCTATCTTTTATCGTCACTCAGTCCAAGGGCGTATTTATCTTATTGTGTATGTAGATGATATTGTCCTAACTGGTAGTGATGAGTCGGGAATACTCCAGTTGAAACATCTTTCGAATCAATTTCAGATAAAGGATCTTGGTAAACTCTGGTATTTCTTGGGTATTGAGGTAGCCCAATCTAAAGATTGTTTGGTGATTTCTCAGCGGAAATATGCTATGGATATTTTGGAAGAAACAGGTTTGTTGAACGCTAAACCAGTTGATAATCCTATGGATCCAAGTGTCAAACTACTATCCAATCAGGGGGAGCCTCTATCAGACTCGGGAAGGTATGGGAGATTGGTTGGAAAGTTGAATTATCTCACAGTCACTCGTTCAGACATTTCTTTTGCAGTCAGTGTGGTAAGCCAGTTCTTAAATTCCCCTTGTCAGGAACACATGGATGTTTTTATCCGGATTCCAAGATACATCAAATGTGCTCCAAGAAAAGGTTTAGTGTATGAAGATAAAGGACATACTCAGATAATTGGATACTCTGATGCTGATTGGGCAGGGTCACCAATAGATAGACGATCCACCTCTGGGTATTATGTACTTGTTGGAGGAAACCTTATATCCTGGAAAAGTAAGAAACAAAATGTAGTTGCAAGTTCAAGCGCCGAGGCAGAATATAAGGTCATGACAAAGGCAACATGTGAATTCATTTGGTTAAAACAGTTGTTCAAAGAACTTAAAATTGAAGAAGCAAGACCAATGGCACTTGTATGTGATAATCAAGTTGCATTGCACATTGCTTCAAATCCAGTCTTCTATGAGAGGGCAAAACATATTGAGATATATTGTCACTTTGTCAGAGAGAAGATTGAGCGACATCGTCACAAGCTTTGTCAACTCTAATGGTCATTTGACAGATGTGTTTACAAAATTTCTGCGAAGCCCCATAACTAATTATATATGTAGCAAGCTTGGTGCATTTGACTTATATGCTCCAGCTTGAGGGGGAGTGTTGATATTTGTAAATATATAATGTTAAGAATATTTGTATGTAGAATAGTCTCACGTCGATTATATCGTGTAATTAGTTGTAATTTCTCTATATAATAAAGTCTCCGTAGTACTTTCAAAACACACGGTTTAACTTAAATGTCTCTTAGTCTCTCCTAATTCAATAAAAATAAAAAAATTAGATACACTTTTGATGCGTATCGAAGCATATCGGTATGTATCAGGTGCTATTCAGTGGAGAATTTAGAGAATTCGTGCTTCATTGCTTTATGATAATTATAAAAGGTTTCAAGATGTCTTTAGTAATCAGAAAGAAAAATAGTTTCCTAGAAAAAATTAGAAGATGCACTTCACTAGAAAGGCTATCATTAGAAAATAAATTGAAGAACATTTATCAGTTTTCCTTGTCCTACGATGTTCAACCTTTCTTTAGAATTAGAAACAATAGGAACAAATGGTTCCTTGTAAAAATTCAGAGATATTCTTTGAAAAGCAGCTCAATTTTATAAAACGAGTTGAAAAGCATGCATCAGCTTCTTTTCAACTCATCCAAAAGATAGTGAATGTTTCAATAAAATTTCATGGATGATAAGCAAAAGAATAGTACCATTGTTTTCTGTAGCATTATTCCAGCTTTCTTTTCTGATAGGTAAAGAGGTTTTTTGTGAAATGTTTGTGACGAGATCTATTTTAGGTTCTTCTTGTTTGGAATTTTTCTCCCCCTTAGTTTCATTACTTTTAGCCTCAAATGTTGTTAGGCTAGAAGAAGTTTGTATACCATGGCTTTTTCCAGCTTCCAAAATATTTTCATGTTTTGTTTCTTCATTGGACACACTTGACGGGATCTCTACACCATCACAATGAAAAAAATTTATGCCCCGAGAAGATAACATGAGAATAAGATTATCAGAGAAAGGAAAACCACATCATGTGGTAAGGATTTTATTGCTAAAAAGGATGACAAGTGACAATATCTCCAAGAATACGATGTATTTTAGTTCTCTGCATCTAATATTATTTTTAATTTAACCCTTCCATCTTGCTTTAACAGAATGGTAGGTGGTGCAGGACTCCGATAACTATAGTAACGAACAAGATAAGTAAATAAATGTGGCACCATATACAAGGGGTTAACATGTCCTTGTTAGACACATAATATGGTACTACATATGAAGCATTGCAAACTCTTTAGAGAACCATATAGGAATAAATAAAACAACATCTTACTTACGTTCGGTATGTGAAGTAGTTTTGGTATTACTTTCACCCATGCTCTTTTCAGAAGAGCTTTGTGCAGATATTGTCTGAGATGCTAAACCAAGATCTTTTTCTTCTGGCTCATCAGTAGTCTTTTTCTTTGGCATTGATGAGTCATGTTCAGACACATGTTTATGTGGATCTGGTGCCTTCACCGAAGACCTGCTAACTAAATGATCTGCAAAAATGTGAACATGGTGTAGAAAGGACTGAGATTAGTGCAAGCATTTCATGGAGAGGATGAACTTTAAATCTTGGTTGCATGAAGATAAGCTAATAATTTAGGATAATAATAACTGTTGATTGTAATTGTAATTCTATTCTAAGTGTTGTCGCCACACCCATGTGGAGTGTTCAGCACAAGTTCTTTGCATACATGCAAACTACACACCGCCGTCCAGTTGTCATTGTCTCCCCTGCCAGTCTCAATTGACTCGTCATCACCTTCTCATTCTGCTCTTCAGTCTCACCAATTTGACCACATTCACAGCTAGTGATTGGCATGTCTTTTCTTGCCTAGATTGTGTTTGTAGGGCTTCAATTAATTTGTTTTTTTGTCTTTTTTCTTAGAGGTCTGAGTTCAGTTTTCCATAGCTGAGTCTTCAAGGCTGGAGCCTCTGAGAAAAGTTAAATTTCCTTTGTTTTTCAGTCCCTCCCGTTATTACCACCGAAAGGTTGAATGATAAAAACTCAAGATTTGTAGAATGTCGTTGCAGTGTGGTTCATAGGTTAAGGCCTTTCTGAACAACTCATTAAGAAGGCGGGTGATATTGATGTTCGTGAAAGAGTTCATGGAAGATTGGAATTATGAGTTTATGACTAGGATTATTCTTTCTCTATTATTTTTATATTTCTGCTGATATATTTTAAATACTCTCGTTGATATTTGTATATATATATAGTGTTAAGAATATTTGTATGTAGAATAGTCTCACATCGATTATATCATAGCATTAGTTGTAATCTCTCAATATATAATAAAATTTCCGTAGTGTTTTTCTAAATATATGGTTTAACCTAAATGTCTCTTAGTCTCTCCTAATTCAACATGGTATCAGAGTCTCATCTAAAATCTATTGGGACACCCACCATTTAATTCCACGATCCAGCCTTAATTCCTGGGCGTGAGAGAGGGGTGTTAAGAGTCCCACATCGGACAATATATGGCATGATCATGTGTTTATAAGTGGGGGCAATCCCCACCTTATAAGTCGGTTTTGTAGGATTGAGTTAGGTCCAACCCACACATTCTAAGATGGTATCAGAGCCTACTAAGAGGCAATTCTTCGCCGTGTTTTACTCGGTTGACCCACTGTCTTCTGGTGACAAATTTTTTTTTGCAAACCGTGTCATCACTCCGGTTTGCCTCCGACTTTCCAAAATTCTCCGATAACCAGACGACTGCTGCCGCTACTAATTCCGGCGACTTTCCGGCAAACTAACCCTACCGACAAAAGCGCCTCCTTCGATCCGGCCGATTCCGACGATTTGAACACCACCGCACTCGCCACCGTGCAACTTTTCCAATTCTGATACTCATGGCTACTCCTCAAAACTTCACGCCAAACTACGTTAATTTTCTCAAGTGGTATCAGAATTATCAGAACTAAGATTCTACTACTTCGGTTGCACACACTGGTAACTCATCTGTTTTCTTCTCTCAATCATCTTCTCTTAGACCTTGGGTCCTTAATTCTGGTGTGTCTGATCATGTTACTGGTAATAAAAATCTTTTCTCTTCCCTCTCTACTTCTGGTTTCTTACCTACAATAACTTCTGTCAATGGTTCTCAAACCTGGTCCGAAAGAATTGGTACTGTTCAAATTCTACCTTCTCTCTCTGTTACTTATGTTCTCTATGTACCTAACTGTCCATTTAATTTACTTTCAATCAGTCGTTTAACTCGTTCTCTTGATTGTATTGTCACCTTCACTAATAGTAATGTCACCCTGCAGGATCGGAGTTCGGGACGAACAATTGGCGTCGGATGTGAGTCTCAAGGCCTTTATTACCTCTCAGTGTCATCTCAGACATGCTTAACTAAAGATTCTCCACTCAAAATCCATGTTCAGTTAGGTTATCCTAGTCTTTCCAAATTACAGAAGTTGGTGTCAAGTTTATCGAAAATATCTAATTTACATTGTGAGTCGTGTCAGTTAGGGAAACACACTCGTAATCAATTTCCCAATCGAGTCAATAAACGAGCTCTGTCCCCTTTTGTTTAGTTTACTCCGATGTTTGGGGTCCCTCACGTACTATCTCTACTCTTCAGTCTAGGTATTTTGTCACCTTTATTGATGATTTTTCACGTTGCACGTGGTTATTTTTAATGAAAAATAGATCAGAATTATTTTCTATTTTTGAAAAATTTTATAAAGAAAGAAAAACTCAGTTTGGTGTGTCTATTCATACCTTAAGAAGTGATAATGCTCGTGAATATTTATCCCAACAATTTCAAACTTTTATGTTCAGTAATTGTATTCTCCACCAAACATCTTGTCCTCATACACCTCAACAAAACGGAGTAACCGAACGCAAAAATCGGCATCTTGTAGAAACCACTCGGACCATACTTCTCCATGGTAATGTTCCACTTCGATTTTGGGGGAGACGTTGTGCTAACGGCATGTTACCCTATAAATCGCATGCAATCATCTGTTCTTAACAATAAAATCCCGCATTCAATCCTTTTTCCCCATTCCCCCCTTCGCCCAATTTCTCCCTGAGTCTTCGGGTCTCCATGTTTTGTGCACAATCTCTCTCCTGGTCTTGATAAACTATCAGTTCGATCACTAAAGTGTATTTTTCTTGGTTATCATTGATCCCAAAAAGGTTATCGTTGCTATTCACATACCCTACAACGATACCACATGCCGGCCGATGTCACCTTCTTCGAGTCTGTTCCATATTTCGAGTCCAGCCAAGTAACTCTGGAACCCTTTCAGGAGAGTACTCCTACACCTCTTCTGGAAGTCCCGTATGTCATTATCCCCCATCATTCTAGGAAATCTGACCCACTAGATAACCATACGGTTAACCCCCCGACTTCTCGTCCACTTCAAACATATCAGCGTCGTCAACCAACGTCTGTCATACCTGTCCCTGAGGTCGTACATGTCCCTGAGGTCGTACATGTCTCTGAGGTCATTGCAGACTCTCCTTCGACGCTCTCACCCTCACCGGATTCGATCCTGTAACCTGATTCCGATCTTCCAATTTCCCTTCTAAAAGGTATACGTCAAAACGAAAACCTTCTCTACATTATATTGATTTATGTTATCATCGTCTTTCCCCTTTGCAGTATACTTGTTTGTCTTCTTTGTCTTCTGTTTCTATTTCTAACACTCCAGGTGAAGCATTATCTCACCCTGAGTGGAGGCAAGCAATGATTGATGAAATGTGTGCTCTTCAAAGCAGTGGTACCTGGGAACTGGTTCCTCTACCCCCCTAGGAAATCTTTAGTAGGTTGTTGTTGGCTTTATACAATGAAAGTTGGTTCAGATGGTAAGATTGATCGATTTAAAGCTCGCTTGGTAGCCAAAGGATACACTCAGATGTTTGGATTGGATTATAGTGATACCTTCTCGCCTGTAGCCAAGATGGCATCTGTTAGACTTCTTCTAGCCATTGCAGCCATTCGACATTGACCTCTTCATCAACTTGACATCAAAAATGCATTTTTACATGGTGATCTTGAAGAGGAAGTATATATGGAGCAACCACCTGAGTTTGTTCCTCAGGGAGAGTAATCGAATACGGTTTATAGGTTACACAGGTCTCTTTATGGTCTTAAACAATCTCCGAGAGTTTGGTTTGGCAGATTCAACACTGTAGTATAACAATTTGGTATGGTCCGTAGTGAAGCTGATTATTCTGTCTTTTATCGCCACTCAGCCCAAGGGTGTATTTATCTTATTGTGTATGTAGATGATATTGTCATAACTGGTAGTGATGAGCAGGGAATACTCTAGTTGAAACAACATCTCTCGAATCAATTTCAGACAAAAGATTTTGGTAAACTCCGGTATTTCTTGGGTATTGAGGTAGCCCAATCTAAAGATGGTTTGGTGATTTCTCAGCAGAAATATGTTATGGATATTTTAGAAGAAACGGGTTTGTTGAACATTAAACTGGCTGATACTCCTATGGATCCAAGTGCCAAACTACTACCCAATCAGGGGGACCCTCTATCAGACTCGGGAAGGTATAGGAGATTGGTTGGAAAGTTGAATTATCTCACAGTCACTCATCCAGACATTTCTTTTGCAGTCAGTGTGGTAAGTCAGTTCCTAAATTCCCCTTGTCAGAAACACATGGATGTTGTTATCCGGATTCTGAGATACATCAAATGTGCTCCAGGAAAGGTTTAGTGTATGAAGATAAAGGACATACTCAGATAGTTGGATACTTCGATGTTGATTGGGCAGGATCACCAATTGATAAACGATCCACCTCTGGGTATTGTATACTTGTTGGAGGAAACCTTATATCTTGAAAAAGTAAGAAACAAAATGTAGTTGCAAGATCAAGCGTCGAGGCCGAGTATAGAGCCATGGTGATGGCAACATGTGAACTTGTTTGGTTAAAACAGTTGCTCAAGGAACTTAAAATTGAAGAAGCAAGACCAACGACACTTATTTGTGATAATCAAGCTGCATTGCACATTGCTTCAAATCCGATTTTCCATGAGCGGACCAAACATATTGAGATTGACTGTCACTTTGTCAGAGAGAAGATCGAGTCAGGCGACATCACCACAAGCTTTGTCAACTCGAATGATCAATTGGCAGATGTGTTTACAAAATCTCTGCGAAGTCCCAGAACTAATTATATATGTGGCAAGCTTGGTGCATTTGACTTATATGCTTAAGCTCGAGGGAGAGTGTTGATATTTGTATATATATAGTGTTAAGAATATTTGAATATTATGTTATCCTATGTGAATATATGTTAAGAATATTTGTATGTAGAATAATCTCACATCAACTATATCATAGCATTAGTTGTAATCTCTCTATATATGATAAAGTCTCCGTAGTGCTTTTTTAAACATACGGTTTAACCTAAATATCTCTTAGTCTCTCATAATTCAACAACTATATTAAGATATCATATGTGAATATTATGTTGTAATTAGTAGGAGAGATGTAAAAATGGTTTGAGATTTATTTTATCCCTACATAATCAAGGGGCTTAATTTAACCTATTTTATCATAAAATAAACATAATCAGAGTCAGTTTGTCTCTCTCTAGTCATTCAGAACAATTCATGTATTTCTCCCTAAATGCAATTTGGTATTAGAAACTCAAAAGCCCCAAGTCGTAAATCTTTAAAGTCCTAAATTAGAAGCCTGTGATATCTAGTCGCTGGTCCATCAAACATCAACTTTGGACATCGACACTATATTCTGAGAGCACCAATCTCATTTTAAAACTTGGGCTGGACCTAACTCGCTCCAAAAGCTTACTCGTGGAGTGAGGATTGTCCAATCCTTATAAGGACTACTTCGGCAATATCTCTACTCAACTAGATATCCAACAATACACATTTAGATGCACAAAAGCACGTAGGACAGGCAAGATGAAGGGTACAGAGATTGCCACATGGGAGAAAAAACTATGCCAGACAGTTATTTCAGTCAGTAAGCATTTTATGGTATGTTTGTTTCATGGTTGAAAATTTTATTCCTTGGAATGATATTCCTAGGATTATTATTCTTGGGAATATTATTCCAATCTATGTGTTTGGTAAGAATTTAGGTTCCTAAGAATAATTATAAAATTTGTTTAATTTTAAATTATAAAAAAATAAAAAATAATAGTAAATAGGAGTGATAGTGGGTAGTTAGAGTTAGTTGAATTTATTCCCATGGGAATATTTTATTCCCATCCTTTATGCCTTGAAATAAGAATAGAGAATCCATGAGTAAATAATATTCCTTGGAATAAAAAATTCTTTGAAATAATTTTTTAAAACTTGAATCAAATATGGAAATATTGCATTCTCATTGTCACATTTCCAGAAATAATTTTTGTAAACTTGAAACACACACGCCCTTAGGAAAAATTACACTCACCTCACCTCCCCTAATCTCTACCTAAACATCATAAACACCCCCCTTTAGTTTTTAGATTGACGCTAACCTCCCTTAATTTTGCATTTAAGTGACAGACTCCTACTGAACAACAATATACATACTTTTACTTTCATGAAACAGGTAGAAAACAAATCTCTCAAATTGATAGAATATCAAGGGCCCGTTTGGATTGGCTTAATGGAGCTTATCTAATCTACTAGCATAAGTTTTGTGACAATGTTTAGTAGTCCTTTACAAATCAAATTATGACATATTTCTTAAACTTTTTTGAGTTTCTTTATATCAGTTCTCAAAAATAACTTACAAAAACAACTTAGAGCATATATAAAAAAAAACAATTTGTATTTATTTATATTCTTATATAAAAGTAGTTTATGCAAACTTATTCATAAGTGCTTATTTTGATAAGTCCTTGTGCCATAAGGCATCAAAGCAAATAACAATTCAAATGGAAGTATACCTGAATAGAGCTGCAACGGCGATTGTGGAGGAAGAAAGGCAGAAAGACCAGGTGTTCTTTCCCAAGACCATAAAATAATGGTACTACACATCAAAACAATGGAAATAAGAGAAATTTCTTTACCCTTTAATCTACTAAACCCTGCCTTCATCCTGCATAAACACTGCAACATTAATCACATACTTTCATCACTTTAATCACTCCTAATCAACACTTTCAACTAAAAAACCACTCTTTCCTAATCATATTACACAAAATTCACCCTTTCAATTTTACTCACCACGATCTACAAACGCTAACTTCACATTCATCAAAAACACACATAATCACAAAACATAAACAAACATGCATCAATTATGAACGGATCTGTGTGGTTGATAGAGATGTAACGAAGAGATTTACCTGATTGGGATGAAAAAAGAAGAAAGAAAACTCCAATTTGGAACTAGTTTACTGAATCTTCAATAAATTCAGATGCTGAAAGAGGAAGAATGCGTAGAAAATTAAACAATTTGGGGAATGTTTTGCGAAGAGAGGAAAATACGAAGTGTAATACGAACGAGGATCGCGGTGAACGCTTCACGATGTGAAACACGAATAATGATTAATTTTAATTTTAAGTGATTTATATATTAATTAACGTTGATTTGGTTATGATTCGAAGCCTGATTTATTTTTATTTTTATTTTTGTTAGTGTGATGTCGTTTTTAGCTTTAAATCAAATAGATTTGTTAACGTCTATGTAAATCACATTAAATATATTTTTATTGCTTTTAAAGTTGTTAGATTTTTTTTATAGAATATTTGTAATTAGGAACTTCTGCTAGGGTTTGCGATTTCTGACGAGATCTTCGGCAACCGCAACTTCTGGATATAATATGGGACGTGGTTGTGGCAGGTCGAAGAAACAGGCGGCAATAATACCACCCGTAACGGTGAGAGTCTTCTCATAACATTCAAGCAAGGGAGAAGTGAATGCTTCATTGGAGAGAATTGTGACGGAATCGGTGAGTCACTCGATTTTCACATCTTCTCCGAGTGAGAAATAATCAGAGAGGTTGGTACTGATAGAGGAGGAGGTAATAGAGATGGTGTAAGAGGAAACTGAGCCGAAACAACCATGGGTTCAGATTATTCGAGGTAATAGTCTCTCTTTTAATGGCTTAGAAATTGATTACTTTGCTCCTACTATTGTGGATGGGAAATAGAAGTGATTATAGAGGAACAAGATGTTGCTTCCGAAAGGAAATTTTGGGAGAGTGGATTAATCATGTACACATTAGAAATATATTTAACTATGAATGTTGTTAAGAGATTTATGATTAACATGTGGAATTTTGTATCTCTGCCTGAGTCATACTATAATGATGATGGTTATTTTATCATTTGATTTAAGTCCAAACAGGAGAGAGATGAAGTCTTAAGGAGAGGCCCATATATAATCTTTAGACAACCAATGTTTTTGCACGAATGGAACCCTGAATTCACAATGAAAGATGATAGGATGAGAGTTGTATCTATATGGGTGTTGGCTGAAGATTTTGATGATACAATTCGAAACGAAGCAAGTTGAATGTTTCGTTGGAGTAAAGCAAGATGTTACGGTTCGGAATGGTAGAAGCAGTTCTTTGAACGAACATGTCAAAGCTCGGAGCTTCGAGTGACAGTTGTGAAGATACATTTAAAAGAAGCCTCAAAGTGGTAACGAGACTGTGTCTAAGAAATGAGTTCGAAGCGAAAAGTTCCAAAACATTTGAAATTCAAATACAAGCGGGATGTTCGAAATTTAAATATATATGCGCTGGAGCGTTCGAAGACGCGTGGAAGCTAGAGAGGAGCAGTGCTCTGCATGTTCTGAACGTGGCAGAATCTTATAGGCAAGACTGTTATGGTCGAAGTAGTATAAATAGGAGTCTTAGTACTAGGATTTCGGGTGTCATATCTATTATACAAAATTCAGTAAACATTCAAAATACCACATGGCGAGGGAAACGAATGCTCGAACAATGTACGTATGATGACACCAAACATTTATGATTCAATAAAACTCTTTATCCTTTCCAGTTTATCTTCTATCTTCATGTCAATGACATTCAAATACCTTTACATTCAAAGTCATTTACTTGTTCCTTGCACTTAAACGCTTTCCTTCTATTTCGAATCCTTTACATTTCAGAAACTCTTTTACATTTCATGCTTTTATATTCATGCTTTTACATTAAAAACCTTTGCATTCAAAGTCATTTACTGATTTCTTGCACTTAAACGCTTTCCTTCTATTTCGAATCCTTTACATTTCAGAAACTCTTTTACATTTCATGCTTTTATATTCATGCTTTTACATTAAAAACCTTTGCATTCAAAGTCATTTACTGATTTCTTGCACTTAAACGCTTTCCTTCTATTTCGAATCCTTTACATTTCAGAAACTATTTTACATTTCATGCTTTTATATTCATGCTTTTACATTAAAAACCTTTGCATTCAAAGTCATTTACTGATTTCTTGCACTTAAACGCTTTCCTTTTATTTCGAATCCTTTACATTTCAGAAACTCTTTTACATTTCATGCTTTTATATTCATGCTTTTTACATTAAAGTTTTCATATTTCAAAGTTACTTACTTGTTTCTGCACGTAAACATTTATTTGCAATCGAATCTTTATTCATTCAATTCAGTTTCGTATATCTTTATTTGATTATGTCATTAGATCCTTTTAATATGGTAATCGAAGTGAGTTGAACGCCTATAAAACATTCCAAATACAAATCCTAACTATGAATATCAGTTTTACAATTAGAGTTATCCAAACGACCAATACCCCATAGGATCAATCTAGTCGATCCTGCAAGTTACCAGAGAGATTAAATAATAGTCATTAAGATTATTTGATAGTTTAGAGGACTAGCGACTGTTTACCAGAAATCACTGTAAACAAATTGGCACGCCCAGTGGGACCGTCATTGCTCGTTACGAAATTTAGAATAAAGTGAAGATTGTTGGGACATAACCATTGTAAAAGTACTTTCTGAGTTATAAGTTCGTTGTTATATGAACCTTAGAAGTGGTAGAATAACCAATAGCAATCAACCCTTACCCAGAAGAAAACGTAATAACAAGATGTCTAATCCAAACAATCAACAAGGGGAACAAAATATCCCACATGCAACAGGCACTAATATGTCCGCTTCGACGGGAACATCTAATGTGATCCCCCATAGAGTTATCCAAACGACCAATGCCCCATAGGATCAATCTAGTCGATCCTGCAAGTTACCAGAGAGATTAAATAACAGTCATTAAGATTATTTGATAGTTTGGAGGACTAGCGATTGTTTACCAGAAATCACTGTAAACAATGGGTAACAATACCTCAATTACCTATATTGTATTGGAATGAGATCAGCCTTGGAAAGATTGGTAGTGCCATAGGAAAACCCCTAATGACTTATGAATGCACTGCCAAAAGTTAAGGGTGTCTTGTGCTATAATACTTGTGGAAGTTGATGTCATAAAGGAGCTGAAAGATTTCATCAATATTAGGAATTCAGAAAGAGCCAAATTTCAGAAAAAGATTGAGTATGAATGGAAGCCTCTATTCTGTAAAATTTGCAACAAAGTGGGACATGTGAATGAGAAACCAAAACCAATTGTTAACTATAAATGAACTGTAAAAAGAGAGAATGAGAATCAGGACATTGGGCTGAAAATCCAACATGTGAAAAAACTTGAAACGTGAGGAAATGTTGTTGATAACCATACTACTACCGATGAGGAAGGTGTGGACTCTACAATTTGGACAGTGGTGGGAGCATCAAAGCATAAAAGCAAAGGAATCCTTTTTGAAAATGACCATGATTATGGCATAGGATGTAGCAATGGTTTTGATATATTGGGCAAAGGGATTGAGGCTCAATTATTTGAAAATAAGGTCCCATAATTGTTGCTTGAAACATAAGGGGCGTTAATAAAAGAGCAAGACACATTGAGATAGGGTCCCATCTCAAGAAAATGAATGTGCCTTGTATGGTTTTGTTGGAAACTAAAGTTAAGGAACAAAATGCTAATAAAACAAGACAAACTTTTGGTAACTTCTGGCAGTGGATAGATAACTATGATCACCGTCCTAATGGTACGATGTGGATCATGTGGAAGAAAATTGACATAAAGATTAATAAATTGATAGTTCTGATCAATTGGTGCATTGTGAGGTGATCAATCTGATGGCCAAAGGAAATTCTAGATGACTACAATTTATGCCCATAATCAAATCAATAATAGAAAAAAATGTGGGAGGACATAAAAAATATAGATAAATCTATTAAGGGTCCTTGGATTATCACTGGAGATTTTAATAATGTTCTTACTATTGCTGATAGGATACGGGATGTCCTGTACATTACAGTGAATTTGAAGATCTTGAGAACATGATGTTTGATGTTGGGCTCTTTGAGCATGCCACAACTGGGAGTCACTTCACTTGGTCTAATAAGCAAAGGAGTGGCATTATCTATTCAAGAATAGATAAGGCTATTTGTAATTAATATTGGCACAAGACTTATCCTAGTAGTGAGATTGAGATTTTGCCTACTCATATCTTAGATCATGCTCCTTTGTTGATCAAGATTATTCAGCATTATCCCAACTGGAGCATAAATAACCTAGATTCAAATTTCTCAACATTATTGTTGAGGATGCATAGTTTATGGATAAAGTCGGAAGGAGCTGGAGGATGGAGATCAGAGGTAAACCTATGTATGTGCTTTGGAAGAAATTAAAAAGGCTTCACCCTATTATGCATGGTCTAAATAGAAAAAGCAACAATGAAGTAAAGAAGAGTAAGGAGTATAGGGAGAATCTTATTTAGGCTCAACATAAACTTTCCATTGATTTACTAAACTAGAAGCACACTTTGGAGGTGAATCATTGGACTAAAGAACTTCCTCAAGCTAAAAAAATTCTTAAGCAGAAAGCAAAGGCGAGATGGATCAAACTTGGTGTTGGGAATAATAGTTTTTTCCATGCCACTGTTAGAGAGAAGAATAAACAGACTGATATTCATAAATTGGTGGATGATAAAGGTAACATCATCACTTAGTTCAAGGATATTGCTAAGGAAATCATGAGTTTTTATGGTAATCTGGTTGGAACCAAGGCTATTTCTTTACTGCATGTTGATATTAATGTTTTGAGAAATGGAGCCCAGGTGCAGGATTCTCATAGGGAGTTGTTGATCCAGCCAATTAATGATCAATAAGTTTGGAAAGCCTTTAGTAGCATGGGGGAGACAAAAGCACCAGGAATTGATGGATTTAATGTTTTTTTAAAGCAACTTGGACTATCATTAAAGATGAATTGTTGGCTGCTATCAAGGAGTTCTTTGGGAGTAACTATATGTATGCTATTGTAAGTTATGCCACGGTGACCCTCATTCCCAAAATGAAGCCAAAGCAATGAAAGAAATAAGACCAATAGCTTGTTGTACAACATTTTATACGATCATATCTAAGATCCTAACCACTAGGCTTAGCAAAGTGATCAATCACGTGGTGGATGAGAGTCAGTATGATTTTTTGCCAGGTAAAGTTATCCATGATAATATTATCATGGCCCGTGAACTGGTAAGAAGCTATAGTAGAAAGCATATTTCTCCTATATGTGTCATCCAAATGGACATCTAGAAGGCATATGATTATGTTGAGTTAAGTGCCTTGAAGGATATTATGCAAGAATTGAACTCCCCTCTTAAGTTTATTAACTAGCTCATAGTTTGTTTGACCATTGTGTCTTACATGTACTCTGTTAATGGGCGACTGACTGAGATTTTACAAGCTAAGAGGGGTCTTAGACAAGGAGACTCCATATCCCCTCTCCCTTTTGTCTTGGTTATGGAGTATCTAAACAGAAGCTTGAAGAAGTTAATTGGGATGCCCAATTTCAATTTCCATCCGAAGTGAAGAAAACTCTAAATTACTCACATTTC